TGACGTCAATTCGTCTTGCGTGCATGCAAGATGCAAGACAAGGCTGACAAACAACTACCCATCTTGGGTTGTAGGATGCGATTGCTGCCGATTTAATGCTGCTAGTTATAGTGCAAAGAGCCAGCAAAGATTACAGCTTGAACGGGAGGGCGAGTGAAGGGATGGGGCATTGATGCCCCCCTTCCAAGTGCGGGCCTGCCGACTTGGAGCGGCCTCCAGACTCTCTGTAGTGACGAACAGATGCATTTTCAGGGCCCGATCAAGCCATCGCACACCCCTGAGTGCTGATCAGGCAGCGACAGCTGCGCCAGGGCCCCTCCCGCGGGCCCCGGCCGGCACCAACGGTCATTTGGTGTGAACTGTGAATGATCGGAAAGCTGAGGAGCCGATTTGCGACTAGATGAAATTCTCGCGCCCTGGCCAGCGTGGATGAATGCAAGACAGGTAGGGGTGGCGGAACCTAGACGGGGGCATGCAAGACGGAGCATGCAAGACGGCTTAGTTGTTGGTCCACGCCAGCTTTCTTGCATGACACGTGCATCTGGGGTTTAGAAAGGCGCCATCTCTCGCAAACTTTACGGTGGCGCCAAATGGAGGATCGAGGTAGCAGCTTCCCCGGTTTGCGCAAGGCCTTCCCGCCTGATGGTCGTGAGCCGTTGCGCTTGGGGAGTGGCTCAAAATGCTCAGCTAATTGTGCCTGAGAGTCAGGAGGAGCACCAGGCCCGCAGGCTGCGCCTACAGAAACTGCCGCCCAATTGGCAATAGGTTAAATGGAATGGCGCGTTCAGATGGACCTGCAACGAGTAATACCTCCGACAGCAAATTGCATACCTTTGGTGGTGGCCCTCCCTCCCTTCTCCCCCTCTCTCCTACCTCCCTTTCCCTTTTCCCATCGGTGTTACTCAACACCACCTCTACCCCGTGGACTATTCGCCGATATTTTGCTGGGCGGTACGCCTGTCTATGCTGCCAGGCCCTGGATGGGCGACACGTGTCACAGGACAGCAACAATATTCATGCTGGGGCCCAACTGGGGCCTCAGCAATTGCTTGGCAGCCCAGGTGGCAGCAGGCCTGGGCACCAAAGGCCCCAAGGGGCTTGCATGTGTTGTGAGGCCCCAAAGTGGGCCAATTTGAATTCCCAGGCATGCAGAGGCCTGCATGAGGCCCAGGTAGGGCTGGCCCCAAAACCCAGGGCCTGCCCCAGCAGCAGAAGCATCGCATGCTGCCCTGCAGCTTTGCTTCCTCTTGCTGCTGCTTCTGGCAGCAGTACAGCAAGCTGCCGAGTGGGTGGAACACTCTTGCGTGGAGTATGATGCCATCGCACTCACCATGAAGAACCGCCGTCGGCTTTCTCCGGCGCCAAAAGGATCAAAGACGGTCGTAGTAGAGCGGGGAGGACTTGCCGCTGCGCTCGCGCGGTGCCTCAAATCTGCCGCCAATGCCGCAGCGCCGCCGCACGCGCCGCACGAGCCGACGCATGCAATCCGTTGCTGAATCTCCATCGTTCCGCTGGCATGCCGCTCCTATTGCGACTTGCAGTGCTCCTACACTCGTCCGGTCTATTTTCAATTGATTTGGAAGCCCACAGATCTCCTGCGACGGGCGCGCTCCCGCAGACAGCAACCCCAGTGGCAGCTGGTGGATGCGCCCAGCACAGGAATCATAGCTCGATTGCGTATTCAGAGGCCACACGTCAAACAAGAACAGGTGAGGTACACTTGCGCGAGCTCTGCCTAATTGCCACCGCATGTGGCCCCAGCAATGCTGTGCTGGTTGCAACCCCCCTGCCTAATTGCCACCGCATGTGGCCCCAGCAATGCTGTGCTGGTTGCAACCCCCCTGCCAAATTGCCACCGCATGTGGCCCCAGCAATGCTGTGCTGGTTGCAACCCCCCTGCCTAATTGCCACCGCATGTGGCCCCAGCAATGCTGTGCTGGTTGCAACCCCCCTGCCTAATTGCCACCGCATGTGGCCCCAGCAATGCTGTGCTGGTTGCAATCCCCCTGCCTAATTGCCATCGCATGTGGCCCCAGCAATGCTGCGCTGGTTGCAAACCCCTCGCCCAATTGCCACCACATGTGGCCCCAGCTATGCTGTGCTGGTTGCAGACCCCTCGCTTGATTGCCACCGCACGTGGCCCAGCCATGCTGTGCTGGTTGCAGACCCCTTGCTTGATTGCCACTGCATGTGGCCCCAGCTATGCTAAGCTGGCTTGCTTGCTAGAATTTTCAGGCTTGCACTTGTGTTGCAGCAATGATTCATCACTTGTTGCATGGGAAGCCCCCAGTGCTGAGGCCCCGTTGACCTTGGTGCTGGGGCACTGCTATGCAAACGTTTGCTTGCATCATGTTGCATCGTGAGCGCCCACCCAAAATTCTACCATGCCACCGCTTGTGGCGACATTGGCAGCAGCCAATCAGACGCATTAATCAATGTCACGGCCGGTGGAAGCTCTGCCCTGTAATCATCAAGCCTTGCACCAAGCCCATCTGCATCAGCTCGGCTCTGTTGCTGAGCCAAGCTCGCAATGTGTCTGCCTGCTCTTCTTGAGCTGCAGCACATGCTCTGCTGTTGTCGAAGCATCAACACAAAGCAGCTCTGCCGAGCCAAGCATGCTCTGCCTGAGCTGCAGCACAGCTCTACTCGGTTGCTGGGCTCAGCCTGCCTTGTGCCTGCCTGCTCTGCCTGAGTTGCAGCACAGCTCTGCTCGGTTGCTGGGCTCAGCCTCCTTGTGCATGCCTGCTCTGCATGAGCTGCAGCCCAGCTCGGCCCTAATGCTGACCCCAGCTCGCCTTGTGCCTGCTTGCTCTGCCTGAGGTGCAGCACAGCTCTGCTCGGCTGCTTGAGCCCAGCTGGCCAAATGCCTGCCTGCCCTGCTTAAGCTTCAGCACAGCTCGGCTTGGCTGCTAGGCCCAACCTGTCTAGGGCCTGCCTGTGGTGCAAAATGGCGGCGCGGGCCCCGAGGGTTCCGGCCGGCCTGTTTTGTCTTTGTGCGAGGGCGAGGCCTTACCTGCGATCACTGAGTTGACTGCCGAGCGCTGGTCGCAGCGGCAGGATCTCCCTTGCAGCCCTGGTACGCGTTTGTGTTTACAAAGGCAGGTGCCCGGGTGGCACTCAGCACTCAGGCTCAGAAGCAAAGGGAAAGATGATCGTAGCAGAGCGTCGAGGCTCCTTATATAGTCTGGCCTTCGGCCAGCTGTCGGGAAAATATTGAACAGATCGAGGGAAAACTTCCGACAGGTGGGTGGAAAATGTCCACCTGCAGATACGAAAGTATCTGCCAGGTGCTTCGATGTATTTGATCGTTCGAAAAAGTAAATTTGTTGGGAATTGGGAGTTGGGGTGTCAGGGGAGCTGTTCTGCTGTCACAGCTGTGGTTCCCCCTACCAAATGAAGCTGGTGTCCCACCAGCAGCGGGCACTTCATGCACTAGAAAATTCATGCACTGGGAAATGGGCCCAAGAGGGGCAAGGATTCGATCTGGCTGGAAAGTGTGAAGCATTCTCTTGCACAGCTTGGCTGGATCGGGCGGGTGGCAGGACTACCTGACCTGCTCCACGTCCATCAACATGTCGGCGAGGAAAGCGCTGGTCGAGTTGGAGGGGGAGAGTGTACCCAGCGACAGGCAGTCTCCGTCCTCGAGGCCCTCCAGCATCTGGCGCAAAGTGGGGTCGTCCACAAGAGAGGTCTGCAGGTCCAGGAAAAGCGGAAGCTCGGCGGGCATCGCAGGCATTGCAAGCATCATAGGTGGGGCGATGGCTGGCCCAGGTGGGCAGCCGGTACTGCCGGATTGGACTGGGAAGCTGGTGCACTCAAGCTGTCAAACTTCCAATCGCGGTGTTTACAATTCTTCAGGTGGCAGCAGTATCGGATCAAGCTGCTGGGGCTACTTGGTAGGTGAAGGGCGGGGGTTGAGGCGGCGGCAGTTCTGCTGCCTCGGGTGCCGGCGCTGGCAGCGGCGGCGCTGGCAAAGGAAGGGGGATCTCCAGCTTGTGGGCAACGGTTGTGCTGGCCCAGAAGGCTACAAACTCAAAAGGGAATTGCGGTGGAGGTAGAATCTGGGGCAAGAAGGTGTTGTGGAAGCCCACCAGCTCTTGCGCTGGAATCTCCAGGACGACAGTAAGGAGGGTTTGGGCGGCCGTGTAGAGCGGCAGGCCGTAGGTCTCAAGCAGGGGCGTTGCTGTGAATACGTAGTAGGCACAGGCGGGGTCAAGTGGGAACGGGGCTTGATCTTGCTGGCAGTGGAACACAAAGGAAAACCGGGGGTTGGTGGCTGACCGCGCGCAGCGGTAGAAGGCGGCGTGTGGTTCGTTGGACAGCGGGGCGCTGTGCAGGTGGCTGGTGATGGCAAAGACAGCCTCTGCAAGCTCGTCTTGCAAGGCATCAGACCAATTCTCAGATGGGACAGGCGCTAAGGCAGAATGGAAAAGCGTGATGCCGCCGCTCATGCTGGCGGTCGGTAGAAGGGAGCGGTGGTTTACTGCTTGGATTTCTTCTGGCTGCTGCGAAGGTTGGGGCGGCCGCTGGCGGCTGCCGGGGGCGGCGCCTGCTCGCGGTCGATGTAGAACGCGGGGTAGTCACGGCAGCGCTTCAGGTTGCGCAGCGTCAGCGAGGCGACCTGCTCCTGGGAGCTGTCGTCGGTGCTGGAGGATGAGGGAGGGTCGGCGTCAAACTCCTCCTGCTTGAAGGTCGTCGTCCACGTCGGCGCAGAGGCGCCAGTTGCCTTCTGGATCGCAGCCGCAGCCGCCAGCTGCTTGGCCTTCTCTGCCGCCTCG